CGCCCCATGGTGCTGGAGAGTTCTTTCATGGTATACTGTGTATGGGATCCTTAGTCTACCTGAGTCCCACAGGTGCTGACCCCAGCCCCACAGGGGGCTGCGTTTCTAGCCCCACAGGACCCATGGAGAGAGAGAGCCCTCATCCTGGGCCCTGATGGACAGTGGTGGAAGAAAGCAGGCAAGCACAGGGACAGCAAGAGTGACAGCAAGAGCAGAGGGGCTGGCAGTGCACGGTGCCCTCCTGGCCCTGGCATCCAGGCATAGCTTGGGCTCTGGTACTGTTCCTGTGGACACCTGGGTGCAGACCTGTTAGCCCCCCCTCACTCCAACCCCGGAAGTGGTGAAGCACAGTGGCCCAACCAGTTCCCATGCAGACATTTGCAGTCTGTCATTCTCAACCTGAGGCATATCTGGGGCCCCTACCCTTCCCTGGGAGCCCTTAATGGTGCCAGATGTCTGAACTGGGTTATCTGAGCTAGACTGGGCAGTGTCTGCTCTGAGAGAACAAATGAGTACCACAGAGAGAAGGGCCTTGTCTCCCTGTGCCCTACTTCAGCCGATATACACTCTGTTCACTGTAGGCATCTGTGCCCCTGAGAGAGCCAATTCTCAAAGATGTGCGGACATCCAAGCCTTCTTTTGGGCATTCCCCACCCTCCATCCTAAACCAAAAAGAATGAAGTAGCAACAACAAAATTTTATGGTTGGATCATCACAACATGAGGAACTGTTATTTTTTTTTGGGGGGGGGGTTCTGTTTGGTTTGGTTTTGTTTTTCGAGACAGGGTTTCTCTGTGGCTTTGGAGGCTGTCCTTGAACTAGCTCTTGTAGACCAGGCTGGTCTCGAACCCTCAGAGATCCACCTGCCTCTGCCCCCTGAGTGCTGGGATCAAAGGCGTGCACCACCACCACCCGGCTGGTTTTTGATTTTTGAGACAGGGTTTCTCTGTGTATCCCTGGCTGTCCTGGAACTCACTCTGTAGACCAGGCTGTCCCTGAACTCCCAGAGATCCTGCCTCTGCCTCCCGAGTGCTGGGATTAAAGGCGTGCGCCACCGCTGCCTGGCAAGAAACTGTGTTAAAGGGTCCGAGCATCAGGAAGTTTGAGAAGCACTGGTTTACAGGTGTATGTCACAGCAAACAGTCCTTTAACACTACTGCTTCTGTCTCTGAGGCCTGGTCAGCCTTGGGGACAGTAACCCACTGATTTGGGACATACTAGGTGCTCAGGCCCAAACTTAAAGAATCGTCTCTCTCAACTAATACTCGACCCTGTCACAGTCACCTTCTTCTCTTCTGTTATGTAGCTGAGACTGGCCCTGAATCTCCTGCCGCCACCTCCCAAATGCTGGGATGGCAGGCATTGGCTCTGACTCATCTTGGCATGTGTCTGCCTTTCCCCCACAGTTCTCAATGCAGGGGGTGGGGCAGGGACCCTGAAGGTTCTGCTAGGGGCCTTACACCTCACCCTGGACAGACATTTCAGTCATATCATCCGAGTCCACTTCCCTTAGCACTTGCTATTCTCTCTGCCTAGAGTGACCCTGGAGTGATACAACAGAGATCCCCAGCCACCCTGAAATACTCCTAACTAAACCAGTGAGTTCCAGCTTCATTGACCGGGTCTCAAAAGATGAGGGGAGTAACTGAGGTGGCCACCTGCTGTCAACCTCTGGTCTCCACACCTGTGTGCCCCAGATCACTGCATCTCAGGACTAAGATGTCAGAGACACCTTGTCTCTACAGCAGCATGTCCATCTTAGAGATGGGTCAGAATGTCTGGGTACCCCACCCCACACTAACACAGTCCTCTCTCTTGAGCAGTCTTGTCTGCCTCCTTCCCATCTGGGTGCCTAGGGTTGTCATGAGAGTCTCTAGTGCTTCTCTTCCTCTCAGCTGGTTACGGCTGGACTCCAGGTGATGTCTGGGAAATGGCTGGGTCACAGAGGCCAGCCGAGGGAAGGGCCTTCTCAGGAACAGAGTGGGAGGCCCAAGAACAAACTGAACTAGGCAGGGAGGTGGCTCGATTACTTGTTTTGTCAGGAGGGCTGGGTCCCAGACCACTGTAGCTGCTTCTCCCCCACCCCCCAGACTCAGCTGAGCGCCCCCTCCCTGTCACCTAGCCCGCGTGGCTGGGGCCAGGAGCTACCACTGAACTTGCTCCTTTCTCCCAGGGCCCAGTGACTTCTTGACAGGTTACAGCCCCAAAGATAAACAGATTCTGCCAAGCAAATAACTGTTCAGGAGCAGGGGTGTTGGGGGGCGGGCGATGACCCAGGTTACAGGGTGGGGTCCTTCCTCTGCAGAGAGCAAATAGCTGTAGGCAGTCGGAAGGAAGCAGGGTGCAGGTGTACTGTCATGGGTGAGGACACTTGTGGGGGTCCCTGGACAATACATTAAGTGCTTCCTGGTGAATCCAGCATCAGCTCTTTGTGAGGCTCCATCTCCCACCAAGTCTGTGTTTAGAGGCTGCCTGTGCCGATACAGTTAGGCAGTCCTCTCCCCAGTCAGGCTCATGAGCATCACCAGAGCACATACACCTTTGTCAGGCAGGGGGAAGGCCCATGCAGGGTCTGCAGCTCCAAGTTGGCTCTTCAGTTAGTGAAAATGCCATCGATGCCTGGGAGGTTCCAGTCTGCCCCATCCAGAACTGTGAGACACAGGAAGCTGCTTTCCCTCTGAGCAACAACCCAGGCAGTGACGGTGGGAATACTTTGAGACAGGGTCTCATGTAGCTAAGAATGACCTAGAACTTCTGATCCTCCTGCCTCTCTACTTTCCAAGTAGCCAATCCCAGTTCTGAACTCTGAAGGTATGATTTGGCAGCATTGCCAGGCAGTGGCGGCGCACGCCTTTGATCCTAGCACTTGAGAGACAGGGGCAGGTGGATCTGTGAGTTCGAGGCCAGCCTGGTCTACAGAGCAAGTTCCAGGATAGCCAGGGCTCCACAGAGAAACCATCTCGAAAAACCAAAACCAAACCAAACAAAAAAAGATTTGGCAGCATTAAACTCATCTACTTTATATTGGCCACCAAAACCTTTCTGGGTACCTCAGTGCTCTCAAACCTCTATGTGAGCCCAAAGGTCACAAAGCTGGCTCCTCAATCATTTGCCAACTGCCTGTAGTGTGTTCCTAGATCTCAGGTTTCCAAGCCAGCCCGGAAACCTGTGCAGTCGTGAGCAGAAGGAACACCCAGGAAGGATACCCACCCACCATGGGAACCAAGTAAGATGCATTCACCTTCCAAATCCAGGAAGCCAGTAGCCCACGTGGGAACAGGAAGTGCTCCCCACATCCCTGGCTTGTCTGTTTTCCCAAGCAGACAGAAGGCCAAGGTGCCTGCCCCTCGGCTGGGCAGAATGTGCCCCGGCTGGCTGACTCACAGGTGTGCTACTTTGATGACACATCAAGACCATTCAGTCACATTACTGTTTTGATCACTGGGTACCAAAAGATACAAGTGTAACCCAAGGCTGACTTCGTGAAAACCACTCCTGGCTGTGGCACTATTTTGGGGAGGTTGTGGAACCCTGAGGAGCTGGGGCCAAGCTAGCCGAAACATCTCATTAGCCATGAGCCTTTGAAAGGGATAGTTCTGCGCCATCTGTTTCTTGGCCAGCCAGCACGTGATCAGCCTTCATCTTCCAGGCCTACCACCCGCCAGAGACTGAGCATCCCTGGCCATGCCTCAAGTCCTCCGAAGCCATCAGAGTAAATCTTTCCTCCCTTGTTGGGCACTGTCATGTCTATCCTACTAACTTTCCAAAATATAGATCTTAGGGTTTCAGTTCTGTCTGCAAGTGTGTACTAGAGCCATTGTGGGGTGACACAGATCAGCAGGAACTGAGGGGACAATAAAACTCACATACACACATGAGAAAAGTGTTTTTTTTTTTTTTTTTTTTTGTGTGTGTGTGTGTTAATTTAATCATACAAATATTCATTTACATGGTAAGGAAAAACCTCATCTTCATCTCTTCCTAGGCACCACAAGGCTCCACCAGACACCCACCACTGTCCAGGTGGGAGAGGCAGCAGGCTGCCCCCACATTCACCCACAGAAACAAAGGATAACAGGGGCAAGGGTGGTGACAACACATTAGTCTGCATTTGTGAGCCCTGGCCACCCTCTCCTCCTTTCCTGCTGGGAGCTCAGGCTAAACTTGGGGGTCCTAACACTCATGCCTACTTCCCACCTTGGCCACCAGCTGTGTTGGTGACTGCCAGGCTTACAGTTACAGACGGTCTGTGCTGGGAGAGGAGGCTGCTTTTGTAGAAAAATGCCCCCAATTCAATTATCCCCATGGCAAAAAGAAAACAGGCATGCACACGTGCACACACCCCTACATACACCCGACTCCACACAGACTCTCCCCAAACCTGCAACCACCCACCTTCCCAGCTGGGCTCAAGCCCTTAACACCTGAGACTTGGTATCTGCTTCACCTCGTAGGTGCCAGACTGGGGTCCTGACAAAAGGTGGTCTAGTGCGTTGAAGGCTCCAAAGGGCTGCAGGAAGAGGGGACCCAGGAAGCCATGGGTCAAGGTTTGCACCTGCTTTGGCCTTCTGAATGAGCTACCTTTCAAGGACGCACAGACAGGACTTGTTTCTGGGAAGGAAGCCAGGGTACCTGAGCTGTTACATTTGCCAAATGAGGTTGCTACAAGTGGGAAGGGGCACAAGATGGGAGGGACACTCAGTGACAGTGGCCCATGAAGCCCCTGGTGGGGAACTGAGAAAGCACAGTACCTAGTAGGGGACAGATGGGGAAGCCAGTGAGGCAGGATTGAAGTCTCTCATGATTCCAAGGGCAGCTGAAGGCACGCTGCTCCAAGGCCAGGAAACAGGGACGATGGCTGGGCATGCATGTGCTCTAGGGTGGCAGTGTCCTCAGAGTCTGGCCCTAAGAAGACCTTCAGACAAAAGCCCCCTTAACTTGTGGCTTGGGCACCTGTTAGGGGCTGCCTCTGGCTCAAGGGTCCAAGTGTGCAGAGGAAGTAAGGGCACCAGAGAAGCTCCCATTTATTTAGCTCAAGACCCAGTTGTATTGCCATTCTCCATGGCCTTTCCCACCTGCTCCGGGGACTTCCCCAATGAAACAAAGCTTATTGTTGGTTGCTTTTTTGGGACATGGAAGGGTAAGGGGGGGAGGGGGTTCATACAAGCTTTTCTTCCACAATCAAGTGTTTAAAATCAACAGTCTCAGAAGAGAATGAGGAGGAACAAACACCACACACTTTTGGAACTCAAGCATCCAGAGACAGACAGACAGACAGGCAGACCTGCACCCACACCCAGGCTATCTCTTACAGCCACTCATACCCTGGTCTCCCTGCTCTGCTCACAACCCTGGAGCACAAGGGGGCTGGAGGCAGGCAGGGGACCTTCAGTCACACCAAATCCATATCCCCGGCTCTCAAGCCACTGACTTAGGGAAAGAGGGGTAAGAGGAGGGACTTGCATATATCTTGTATCTTTGGCAGACAGCTGTTCTAGCCTGGTTTAAGATTCCCATGGAGACATCCATATTTCAACCTGCTTGGAGTCCATGGGATACTAGTGGGCACTGCACCTGCCCAGGGAGCAAATGCTTGCACTGCAGCTGAGCCCACACTAAGCAGCCCCTGCTGGAGGAGTGGCCAGCAGTGGGGCTCCCAGCTGGCGCTGTGTCATTCTGTAACAGCTCTGGCTCCACTAATAGGTTGTGAGAATGCCACAAGGACACCGGTGTGTGTGTGGGGGGGCCACGGAGAGGAGCTGTGTGATAAGAGAAGCAGAGCACAGTTCCCACTTGCTGATGAGTTACAACCCTGTGTGCATGGAGCACATGTAACCACCACCGAGAGCCAAGGGAAGACGGGCCACTGCACGAAGGGCCCAGTATTGCGTGCTCACGGCCACACTCCTCCTGCCAAGGGAAACATGGGAGGAAGCGGTCCCAGATGTCACAAGTATGCAAACGGACACCTCTTGGACTGTCCTCCAGGCTTCTGCTGACCACACAGGAGAGTGCTGATACTACGAAGCCCCGGGGTTGACAGACATAAATGTCAAAGGTGTAAATCAACAAGAGACTGACTGAAAAGGGGGTAAGGTGATCACATTGGCAGATGCCATGAACAACAATTGAGGTCAGACTGTGCAGCCAGGTGGGGACACAGCACGAGCCCAGCAACACTGACTGGCAGAGTCCCCACACACGCCACGCCTGCCTTACCTCACTGTGAATGGCTTCCAGAGCAAGCACTGTTCTGTAGAGCACGCTGTCCCTTACTTAAAAAGAAACACCGGGAAGGGGGAAAAACTAACATGTGCTCAAAACTACAACCTCTCGGTAGGTAAAATAATTTTTGTTTAAAAAGATGGCTTATTTTCCCCCATTTTAAATTTCTTCCCCTTCCCGAGTGACCTAACAACTCATTAGACCGACGTCATCACCAAAACGCAAGGTGGCTGCGTGGACTTCTTCTCGGTAGCCTCCACACCATCCCTGCAGTTCTGCATTCACACGTGCATACTGAGTTCACTCAAAACCAGTCTTTCTTCCTCTTCTTCCGTGATTGGGGGTGGGTGGGGGTCTGAGGAGGGGTCCGTGCCATGTGGTCTGCAATCCAGAGGAACCCCTTGCCCTCTCCCCCCAAAGTCAGGCCTTCTGTCTTTTGTTAATTTTCCTTCTTGCTGACACCCGTTTAAGACTGGCCGAAGGGGTAAGGCCCGTGGAGCCCCTGGAAGAGAGTGAAGACAGTCAGTGATGAAGATGCCAGAGCTGCCTGACCAGCAAACCCAGCCCTAGTCACAGAGGTGTGAGGATCACTGTCCTCATCAGACCAAGGGTCAGGATGTGCTAAGTTTCCCACTAAATCCCATTAGCCTCAGAGAGGAGAGTGGGGAGAGATACGGCTCCCCCATGACAGGCAGTTCAGCTGATGCCCACTTTCTTCCAGTCAGGCTGCAAAATCTTCACACGTCCTTGACAACAGGTTCTCAAATCTCTCCACTGCAAGATGACAGATGCAGTGGACGATGACAAGTGCTGACAAACCTGAGCTGAATCCTGGAATCCCCATGGTGGAAGGAGAAAAGATTCCCACAGGCTGTCCTCAACTTTAGCATGCAAGCTGCGGCATATGCAAAACGAATACAATACAAGTTTAGCAGCTCTTGTCTACCTAGCACCAAGCACTATACATGGTACCAGACAGGGTTTCTCTGTGGCTTTGGAGCCTGTTCTGGAACTCACTCTGTAGACCAGGCTGGTCTCGAACTCACAGAAATCCACCTGCCTCTGCCTCCCGAGTGTTAGGGTTAAAGGTGTGTGACACCAACGCCTGGTGGAAGTTAACCTTATCAGGAGCATAGCACTGGTGTTTAGAATGACAGGATGCCACAAGTCTGCGGGCCCAATATGCAAATGAGGGCTGGCAGCCACAGCCAAAGCCCTTGGTGGCTCTGCCAAACATGAGCTCTCAGATTCCACCTTAAGGGCTTCAGTGGGAGGCTCCCATGCACCAGAAAGAACTGCTAGAGGTAAACCACCCTGACTCAGCACTTTCCAGCAACAGCTACTCACCCACAACAACCAAGAGAGGCAGCTCAGACTGGGAAACATACATCAACTACCTCCCCAGCCACCTCCACAGTGCATGCAGCCCTCCCAAGCCTGTGCTTGCCTGGGAATACTTACATAAGGGAGTATGTGACTTCTACACAGCCGACCCAAACCCCCGCCACCCTCATTTAAAAGAAGAGATCTATGCACCGGGCGGGGACAGGGATAAAGATGTGCACTCTTGAATTTCCACCTGGTGTGGGACCCTAAGACCAGCCAGCTTGAATCTAACGGCTTAATTTATGGTTCTCCTTGGTTCTCTAATAACTGAGGTTCCATGTCTTCTTGAAAGAAAAAGCCATGAAATTCTTTCAAATGAAGAGTAGCATTCTAAAAGAGCTGATGATTAATTGGTGCAGAAATGTGGCTTGAGGAACAAGGTCTTTTCCTTCCCCTAAGTTTTAACTACCATCACTTCAAGGAAGGAAGGAACCAGCTATGTAGGATTATGTGTGTCGTGAGCAGACCACAGAACACAGGGCACACTACATCAGCCGCAGAGGAAAAGACTACCAAAGGTTCCAAGAACAGTGTGTTGAGTGTCCTGTGGCAGGAGGCCAAATGGTTAGTGTCTTTCCTACCCCAGGCCTGGAGGAGACAATCCGGATGCAAGGCTCATCCACATTTCAGGTTCTGATGCAGCTCTGCAAGCCAGTGGAACAGGTTCTGGTGATCACCACCACTGATCCCATCCCCAAGCCTGGCCCAGAAGGGGTCTGTAGCAAGGCACTCCCTGCTGGCTTCTGGTGACACACCCCGTGTCTCACCAAATCTACCTAGACGGTCCAGAAGCCTTAGGGATGGATCCTTGTGTCTCCACCTCCCCAGCACCAGGACTCAGCACACCACAGCATCCAGCTTTTATGTGGGTGCCGGGAACATGGACTTAGTGCTGCACAACCCTGCGGCGTGCATTTCACCCAGCGAGCTGCCTCTTGAGCCCCAGCTTTTGTTTGTAGGAAGAACAGAAACCAGATCCCCCACCCACCACCATAGTAGCACATTGCTGGTAACAAGAAAAGAAACGATGTAGCAGCAGATGGTGCCCGAGAGCTCAGAATTCAACTCTGACCCAAACAAAAATTAATCCATCAGTAACCCATGAGGATCTATGACCCATCCAACTAAGGCTGCCAGGACACCAATTCAGCAACCTAGATTCCCACTGAATCTAGATCTAATGGCCAATCCATCCTAGAGATCACTCAGAACTCTCGGCAAGAAGCGGGTTTCTCCTTGCAGCTATCCCGGCAGAAGGAGCACTCAGGCCTGCAGTAGCTGAGAGGACTCTTCCCAACTCTGGACTCTTCCAAGGCTCTGGCAAGAACAGCTCTTAAGGTTGTGGGCAGCCGGAGCACACACTAGCCAGAGAGCAGGGATGAGGTGCTCCAGCCAGACTATGTGTCCCACATGGAACACAGCAGGTGGTTGAGGGGAGAGATCAGTTGTGTCCAGGTCCTTATCGCTCTGTCCAGAATCCAATGTTAAATACTGCAAGCCCCAAACTGGCTATTTTTTAAAAATGTATTTTATAATACTCATTCTTTCGTTTTGCAAGAACAATTTAAGATCTAGCATGTGTATGCTGAAGGGCAGCATGGAGACAATACTGCCCTGCAGGTGCTGCCCAGGCTCAGTCCTTGCTGGGGAAGACTTAGTACTTCCGTCCAAGTCTGCAAAGCAAACCCAACATCAAGTGTCTCTGACACAAGTCTTGGTGCAGACCCTGTGGAGCAGCAAGAGTCACAGCTCGTCTGTGAGCTTTTGTGAGGGGCCCCTGTAACCTACAGGAGCTCCTGAAATAGGGTGTCAGAAAACCAAATCCCAAACAAAAACCAAACCTTTCCCCAAAGGGAAGCACAGGGTATTCGAATATGAATCGCTCTGTGGAGAGTGTTTGGGAACCCCGCTATGCCCCAGGTTTTGGAATAACTGCACGCAGTGAGCTGGCTGAGGGATGAAACCCATTTATTTATGTCTTGTGTTTGGCTTACTCTTAAAGATGATTTTATGTAGCAGTCTGACATTAAACTTCTCCCTTGAGGAACCCTGTTGGGGTTCAGAAGTTTCCTATTTTGTATTTCTGGGTTAAAGATGCTTGAACTTATACTAACAGTCCCAGGAAAACGGTTTGAACATGTGGCCACACACTAGAACCAGCTTTACTTCTTGTCTCTCTCTGTTCAGTTCCCACAGCAGCCACACTGCACTCTGTGCAGGGCCGATCCACCAGTCGTTCACAGCCTGCACTAAGAATGAAGACAGGAACAGCTGTGCTGGGGACTCAGTTCTTGTCTTTTATCTGAGGAGGGGTCAAGAAACAGTCAGAATTCCTTTTAAAAAGGACATTTTACGGAGACTTGTTGGGATCAGTCCTTTCCCTCATATGAAAACTTGCTCAGATAAACCACCACAACACAGAGACTTTCAGACACCTGCCTTTATTTTGCTTTAGTTGTGATTTGGTTTAAATAAATAAAAAGCCCTCACCCTGGGCAGCCGTGGCTCACACCTTTAATCCCAGCACTCAGAAGGCAGAGGCATGCTGTCTATGAAGTGAGTTCCAGGGCAGCCAGGGCTGCACAAAGAAGACCTGTCTCAGGGAGGGAACCACACCAATTCATAAGTAGGAGTGTTAGCTGCACGCAGGAAGCACTAGCCCCCATGCATCAATGGCAACAGATAACACTACAAGGCCTTCTCCTCCATTTGCCTGCCCAGTGCTCCTTGTGTGTCATTTACATACACTGAAAGAGAAGGGTAAAAGGTTTCGCAGGAATAAGGGCTGTCCTGATCCTGAACTGCACATACAGGGTGTGCAGGAAGGACTGGCCATCCAGGGCCAGAGGCTGACCAGCATGATGGAATCTAAGACTCTCATCAACAAGAAATGGAATTACATGCTGGAGTTATATGGGCAAGGCAACCAGCAAGGTCAAAACACCCACGGCCACATCACTACAGTCTAGGTGAAGGTGCCACATCACTACAGTCCAGGCCACGGTCACCAGAAAGTGCCCCAAAGCTCAAAGATGTACCTATGTGCTAGCCAAGGTTAAGTGCAGGAAGCCTGCTTTTGGTGTGGACTGTGTCAGGGTGGCCTTCTGATCCTGTCAAAGGGCTTACAAGGTTAAGAGAGTGTTCTCTTTCCTGTCTTTCTTTCCCTCTTTCTTTTTGTTTTGTTTTTTTTTGAGACAGGATTTCTCTGGCTTTGGAGGCTGTCCTGGAACTCAGAAATCCACCTGCCTCTGCCTCCTGAGTGCTGGGATTAAAGGGGTGCACCACCAACGCCTGGCTGAGAGTGTTCTCTGTCTTTTAAAACCCTTGTAAAACCACTTTAAAAAAATTATTTTATGTGCATTGATTTGGATTTTGGATCCCGTGGAACTGGAGTTATAGACGGTTGTAAGCCGTCATATGGGTGCTGGAATTGAACACTGGTCCTCTGGAAGAACAATCAGTGCTCTTAATCATTGAGCCATCTCTCAAGCTGTAAAACCACTTAACTAACTTCTGCTGCCACCAAGGAACCTGTCTGTCCACCTACCCATCCAACCTTTCCATGTCTACCCCAGCCTATCTGACCTGTCACCCCCCAGTCATTCAGCATTTTCACCCACACACCTATCTTCTCTCCTCTGCTTATCCCAGTTCCCATGACCAACAACAGCTGCCAGGCTTCAACCTTCCCGATCTAATTAAGAAAGTTACCATGAGCAGTCAGATGCAAACACAACTGCAGCTTCAGCACCGTCTGAGGGCCAGGGTTAGGGTCAGTTAGTAGAGGACTTTCGAAGCCTATATAAAGCCTATAGAAACCCTACTTCCTGCCCCCATCACTAAATTATGGTCCTCAAGACCTCAGCTAACTGTGAGTATGCTGAAGTCCAGATGAGATGCTGGGGAACAGCTCTGCTTGGCCATCTCCTAGGGTAAGAAGGAAGGAAGGAAGTCAATTGGGAGAGGCGTTCATCAGAGTCTGGCCATGCAGACACTGGCACCACACTCAGAGTTCCAACCACCACCGAGCCTTAGCTTGCTTCCTCTAGAGCTCAGGTCCCTCTGATGGCTGTCAACTACAGGTCCCTACAAGCCCTCAAGCCCTCCATCATAACT